CAATTGAGCACCTGCTAGAGGCAGGACATTACGCCAGGCACTGGGAGTACAAAGATAAACATGATATGGTGCCTTACCATGTTCAGACTAGGAGTGAGCAGGCACATAAACAACAATTTCCATGCAGTGTGGCAGGTGTAAAGAAGCCTCCAAAGCAGGTCAAATGAATTGCTGTTGAAGAAACAAGGCTTGCTTAGCCTGCTTTTTTTCCAATTTGCCAATGAATAATTGTGAAAATGAGGAGAAAGCCTTTTTATGAATTGTTTCTGCAAGAGGAACTGGAAAAAGTATGTAGGATAGTCCAGGAGGATAAGGATGAAGTTTCTGTCACTTGCAACTGTTGTTCAGTAGAAACACAATATTTCATTTGTCTGGAAGTCTTGAGGGCGGTTCTCGTCTTTGGAGGGTGGTGGCACAGACATCCTCTGAGAGCCCTTCCCAGGCTAGGCTTCCCAGTGCCACACAGGGGCTGGCACCATGGATCCAGCTCCACTGCTCAAGAAACACACTGCTGGAAATGCTGTCCTATTTCTTGGCTCACTGAGCCCTGTGCTGCCATGGTAAGTCCACGATCCCTCAGACAATGTTTCTAGGCTTCCCTGGTGTGTTTATTAGAAATGTGGGATGTGGGCATACACCCTCCCACCACACCAAGCACGTTCTCTCTGTTTATCGATGAAGTGATGGGTGCTCAGGCTATACAAGTCAGACTCTAATACTTGCTAGTCTGAAAGCAAAATTTCTCAGACTGCCAATACTAGTAACAGAGGCTAGCTCCATGACACAATGGTAATGTGCTGCTCAAGAGAAACTGGATCTCACATGGTGACCAAGATTCAAACCCTCAACCTGGTCAGGCATGAGTGTGAGTTCCTGTGTGTAATACAACAGGCTAGAGGACTAGAGGCAGGAAATCATGGTATGATCAGATGCTCTCTCACTTTCACCTGCATGTGTGCATATATTTGATCTTGAATAAGGGGAAAAAATGGTAAAACCTGATATTTATTGAGTACTTTTTATATGCTGGATACTAAGAGTTTCCCTGTATTAATCAATTTAATTCTCCCAGCAACTCTATGGAGTAGGTACTATTATCACTCGATTTTATAGATGAGGAAACAGAACATCTTAGAGGCTAAATTATTTGCCTCAAGGTGACAGAGCTATTCAGTGGCACAGTTTATATTTGAACCCAGAAGTTTAATCTCAAAGTTCATATCCTGAAGCAAATATAGCTATTCTCTTAGAACGTTTGAAAAACACACAGGATAATAGAACTATTACTTAGCCCATCATTTCTCAGACTATGGCTTGTGTCTCATTAGTGGATTATGAAATAAATGGGTGAGTTATGACCCTTTATAAAAACCATAGATTAAGAAAACCCTTAGCACTCATCATACGTCTAAGTATTATCTTAGTCAGTACCTGTTACATTAATTATATCCTTTATGAATGTAACTAAGCATGATGTAAGATGTATATAAGGTCATTGTTTGAAAAGTTTGAGACACACTAATCCTGCCCAACCTGCTCATTTTACAAAAGGGTATGCTAATACCCAAACAGCAAAGTGATGTTCCCAAGATAACAGAATATTAATGGATGAGCTAAGATATATCTCAGTTTACATGATCAAGCTTAAACGATACAAAGAAAACCAAGAAAATACAAGAGTAATAATCCTGATAGTGGAAGTAATTGCTACTAGTAATAACAATAATACCAGTAATGCCAGACATTTTTCTTTTCTCTTTTTCTTACTTTTTCTTTCTTTCTTCTTCCTTCCTTCCTTCTTTTTTTTTTCTTTTTTTTCTTTTTTTTTTGGAGAGGTTTTCACTATAGGGCGCATGCGCTTGCCAGACAGACAGAGAGAGACATAGAGACAGAAAGCAAGAAATCACCCCCCAGGGGGGATGGTCACGCCGCAATCCCTTCTCCTCCATTCTCCTCTCGGGATCTTGGGCATGCACGCACACACGCCTGGCGTGAGTTCTAAGCCACCGGGTCCGGGACGCGAACTGCGGTGGACTATGTGGGAGTCCAGCGACATAGCCATTACGCTAACTGCTGGTTCCCTTCCTTCCTTCCTTCCTTCCTTCTTTTCTGATCTTGTAATATTAGAAAACAGTAGGAGTAGGCATTTTTACTCCAATCAGATGTAGCTAATCAGGTAGTCAGCTATGAGATTTGGTTGCAGTGGATACTTTAGTCATCTACTTATAGGACATATAAGATCTGTGTTCATGAGGAGGCCTAACAGTTTAAGAGTGGTACCAACAGATCTCCATGCAAGGAGACCTGGTTTGGGGCATGAGTACCATTGGTGCTATCCAAGAGAAGGAAGCACCCAGAGCAGGGCACTCAACATAAAATCAGCAAGTTCTTGTTTATTCTGAACCATGGATCTCCCCACCATGCTGGTATTTGCTAAAAGAGAACAACTTTGGGGGTCTTCAATCAGGTAACCTGAAGAAACCCACAATAATATTAGACAGAGCCTCCTTATTGAATCCTAGACCCACTCACCACATTCCTTTCCCT